GAAAATAATGATTTAGCTTTTAATTTTCTAAGGAAATGTGGAGATTGTGGAGAACAATATCCAATATCCAAATGCAAACTCCTGACACGGAGTTTGTTTTTTAGGAGCTGATTTTGAATGCAGTATCAGGATGGAATATTTCATGTCTGGTTTTGATCTTACAAATGTCTTTTCTTCCTCCTCAGTTTGTTCTTAATTAGATTTCTTTACAGTTTCATGTTTTCTGTGCGTTGTTTCGTCTGCTGCCTGACTCCTGACCTTTGAGAAGGAGAGGATTACTTTTTCAGGAACATTGTTTGCCTGGGATTTTCTTATTTTAGAATTAGTCCTGGTTTTTAGAAAAACCCAAGCCTTTCTCTCCTTATTTTGTACATTAGATGCCCCCAAAGTTTGGGAATGTGTCTTCGTGTCCGACATCGGTGCTGATGATCCCTGTGTTTGTACCAGATCATCTTCACTGCATTTCCAAGCTCTTTTTCCTTTGCATTCACAAGGTTTTTCCTTTGCATTTCTGAGGTTTTTCCTTTGCATTTCCAAGCTTTTTTTTCTTTGTTTCCAAGTTTCTCCTTTGCATTTACCACCTTTTTTCTTTTGCATTTCCAAGCTTTTTTTCCTTTGAATTTCCAAGCCTTTTTTTTTCTTTTGAATCAGAGAAAGATTTATTTTGAATATTGTCAGTATTTTTAATTTTATAGGAGCTTCCCCAAAGCTCTCCCTGTGTTTCTAATCCAGGATGTGGAAGGAAAAGCTCAGCCTGATGCACCTGCTGGCTTTTAAAGCTGACTTTTTAGATTTTCCTGATGCATGTTTGTCTTCTTCTTGAGCTTTTGCTGGATGAGATTGGAATGTTGGCTTCTGATTTCTCCTTTTTCGTGTCTCCATGAATTCCCTGTGCAGACCTTTTAGTCTCCCAAACTCCCAGGATCAACCTGGTTTATGGAAATCTCTCAAACTCTTGGAATTTATTAAATAACTGAACTATTTGAAAGTCTCTGGTGTGTTTTCATAGAAAGCTTTGTTTAGGAAGTGAGATTCCCAAAAAAAGCGAACTTTGGCCCTTTAGTGTTTCAAAGCAAGGACATCCTTTTTTTTGAGTGTTACCAGCAACGATCCATTGCCCTGCATGAAAAGATCCCTAAAAACACAGTCAGCCAGCCTTAAATCACCCAAATCCTGCACTTCCCCCTTCTTTAATGGGCATCTCTTTGTCAAAGTGCTGAATTATGTTGCTGAATGTATTTTTTATGTGTGTTTTGTGGCTCAGAGACACTTTGCTGTTTAAAATCACAGCGTTTGTGCTGCTTTTGGGTAGGAAATGGTCCGAAAAAGTCAAATCCCTTCCCACTTAGGTATTCCTGCCTTTTCTGCTAGGGGCTTCCCTAAGTTAAACATCTCATTTCCAATATCCTGCTTTAGTGTTTGGGTGTTTGACGTGCAGGGAATGAGGCAGCTGAAAGCTCCCCCGCCTGGGATCGTTTACGGGTAGGGAACAGAGGCAGCGCGCTTTGCTTTTCCGGGATTGTTTGCACATGTTTTCAGGATGTCCTTCTCCACTGCAGGTAAATCACATTTCTAATGTCATGGTGAACTTTTTATCTGCTTCAAAACTACTCCACTGTCGTTAACATTATATTTTCCTTCAGTCACCGGAGGACTGCGAGGAAGTGTGGTTGCTCAAGACCTGAATAACATTTTAGGTTGTGATCCCAACTTCACAGATTTTACTGCTGAAATTTATTGAACCTTTTTATCAACTATCTTTGGACTTAAGGGCTAACTTTTCATGCCTAATTTGTATGTGCACATGCTGTGGCTGAGTCTGCAACTGGGGTAAAAATCAGTGCAAACAGCACTGGGTTGTCTGGACCAGTTTTACACCTTTGATTACTGTAACAGCAAGTGGGAATTTGAGGAATTAAGGGAAAGAAATAGGGATGCCTGGCTTGAAAAATCTGCCTGATGGTTTAGATCTCTGTAGTCTAAAATCTTCTCTGAATCTGCCCTGTTTAGCTTGTTACCTGTTTTCTGGGCTTTTCTCTGTGGAGCCATGTTCTTTCCATGAAGGGAATGGTAAACCCTTTATGGCCATTCCTTATCACATTGATTAAATTATAGTGTTTGTGATCAGTGGGTAGAATCATGGAATGGTTTGGGTGGGAAGGGACCTTAAAGCTCATCTCATTCCACCCCCTGCCATGGGCAGGGACACCTTTCACTATCCCAGGTTGCTCCAAGCCCCATCCAACTTGGCCTCGGACACTTCCAGGGATGGGGCAGCCACAGCTTCTCTGGGCAACCTGTGCCAGGGCCTTCCCACTCTCCCAGGAAAGGATTTCTTCCTAATATCTAATCCAAACCTACTCTCTTTCCATGTGAAGAAGGTCTTTTCCTGCCTTCCCTGGCAGCAATTTCTGGGATGTTTTATGTCACAGCTCTGGCTCATCATCTTCCTCATGCTGGGAGACCTGAGTATGAACATCTCACTGCACCTGATGATCTCTTGTCCCAAATAATTGATATTGCTTTTGATTTCTCCTTGAATTAAGTGACATCCTGGAATATCCCAGGGATTACACTGTAGTAGTTAAAATTCCAAACCAGACAGCTTTTCCCTGAGAGTTTCCTCTGACTACACTTGATCAGTCACTTCTCTAACCAGGGCAGCACAACGTGAAAGTCATTAAAATGTACTTATGGGTGAAATATGGACTTTTTTTCCCCAAACTAACCACAGAGCACATGATCGTGTTTTATGTGGGACTCACAAGTGCTTTTGTACATCCTGACAGCTGAGGGTGGGTGAAGAGTTAAAGCACAACTATTTTTATTGGACATCCCTGCAAACATTTCTGAGCCCATTTCTCTGTGTAATGCACATTAGTAATAGATCAGGCTGAGAAACGTGGACTCAGGATTTACAATATGGAATGTGCTTTCCTTTTGCTGACACCTATGGAAAGGGAGCTGTTGCACAGCAGCAGATGGTAATTTCAGCCCAGTTTCCTCCTTTCCTACTCCCACCCCCTTTTTGGAGACACAACAAGAGTTGTAAAGTTCTTGCTGTCGCTTTAAAATCAGAAACCATGGGGTCTTTGAGGCACTTTCGGGGCCAGTCTTTTTCCCCCTGTATATTCTCTCCTTTGTTCAAATGGCTTCTTAAACAGATCTACAAAAAACCTCAGAGCATCAAAAATTCAACATATTTCAGAAATGATGCCATAAAAGGTACAGTTCTCCACTTGGCTGTGTTAAGCTCAGTAACTGCAGCTTTCACATTCTGAGGACTCTGGTTTCATTTGTAATACAGAGGAAACTATGAAGCTTTTAGCTTGTGCAAACCTGGAATTTTGTGGCTCCAGGCTTCAAATCATTTGTCTTGCAGTCACAGAGCATGTCCTGTTCTATATATTCTATATACAACAGCTTAAGCAAGTACTTCACAGGATTAGAATCCCATTTGAGAGGAAGATTGAAAGCTCAGTAAGTGGAAAAGATTATTTTACTGTGCAAGGTATGAAAGAAACTGATACCAAAAAGAAAATAAGAATTTTAGAGACACTTCAAGCATTGTTATGTTGAGCAAAAGCTCCTGTTACAGCTTTGGCTTGTTTAACTGTGGGATTGCACATCTGAATCTGAGAAGTTTAGAAGCACAGTTTTAGAGACTGTTAAAAATAGATCTGCTTGAATTCCGGGGTTTTGAACCTCATAGAATTATAGAAACCTAAAATGGTTTGAGTTGGAAGGGACCTTAAAGCTCATCTCATTCTATGGGCAGGGACACCTGCCACTATCTCAGGTTGCTCCAAGCCCTGTCCAGCCTGACCTTGGACACCTGCAGGGATGGGGCAGCCACAGCTTCTCTGGGCAACCTGTGCCAGGGCCTCACTACCCTCTGAGTAAGGAATTTGTTCCCAATATCCCATCTAACCCTGCCCTCAGGCAATTTAAAACCATTGTCCCTTGTCCTGTCGCTGTCTGCCCGTGCAAAGAATCCCCTCCATCCTCTCCTTCCTTCTTATATGGGCAGACAGTGACTGGATTTTTCAATTTTTTTTTTTCTGCAGCCATGAGCATTATGAATTTGTTGTAGTATTGATGCTTTTAAGAAAAGCATCAATACCCCTCTGAAGCTCACACTGAAATGGTCACAGTCTGTAGTAATAAAGGAGGAGGACCTCAAAGCAGCTGACACTGCTCAACGTTTCCTTCCCACTTTTAAAGCCATTTGTGCAGATGTTGAACCAAGTCTTTCTTGTAATCATTTTACTCTCTGTTCCTGGTGTATCTGGGCTTTCCCTTCGGGTTCAGGGGCTGCACGTGGTGATAAAGCTGGTTTGAGTTGGCAGCAGGGCTCAGTCTGGGTGAGCTTTGCTTCCCAGCGCTCAGCTCAGCTCCTGAGTCAGCGCTGTGTTTATGGAACACTTTGGCAACTTAACACCAAAGGCTACAAAGTGCATCATGTGGCTCTTGAAATGACTTAATTCCAGGAGTAACGTTTGCAGAAGGGTCTCGTTTTGCGTTGTTTTTATTGGAGTCTGATCAATTTTGAGCTGAGCTTTAAAAGATTTTATTATTTTTGTTTGGTTTAATAGGAGTTTTATATGGTCTCCTGCTTATCAGACTTATTGTGGGGCACTATCAGTGAGAAATAAAGCTGTATCCAATTTTGGCTTCAGAGTGCTGGATCCTCTGTCAGTGTTGCACAGTGTGGATGTAACAGTGCAGCTCCTGTGGATGGAAGGGCAGATTATAAAATTCAATGGGCAGACAGAACTGTGCATGTATGATTACTGAACTTTGGGAATAAAGTTTGTTGGAATCACACCACTGTACAGCTTTGGGGGTCCTTGTTGAGGTCACTGTATTCCTTTAGGCAATGTGGGCAGTTCTAAAATGATCCTTCGTTCACCCTGTGTGTGGGACTGGGTGTGTCATCTTGGAATTCTCTGGAAATACAGGTTTATGCCGATTTTTGCCTCTTTTCTTTGTAATTCCAGGCCACCTGTTTTACAAGTTTGGCATCACAGAGTCCGACTGGTACCGCATCAAACAGAGCATCGACTCCAAGTGCAGGACAGCGTGGAGGAGGAAGCAGAGGGGGCAGAGCCTGGCTGTGAAAAGCTTTTCCAGAAGAACGCCTTCATCATCCTCTTACAGTGGTTCAGGTAACAAACCAACACCCCCCCAAAGCCAATCAAACCCCAACTGAAAGGAAAACTCGCAGTGATAATAAATTCCATTTGTTTTTCATTATACCTCAATGTTAATGCGAGTGTTTAGCCTCACTGAGATGCTGAGAACATACAGTCAAAAAATCATGGAATGCTTTGGGTTGGAAGGACATTAAAGATCATCTTGCCATGGGCAGGGACACTTTCCACTGGTTGCTCCAAGCCCCATCCAACCTGACCTTGGACACTTCCAGGGATGGGGCAGCCACAGCTGCTCTGGGCAACCTGTGCCAGGGCCTCACCACCCTCACAATAAACAGTTCTTTTCCCAATATCTCATCTAACCCTGCTCTCTTTCAGTTCCTGCACATGTGTTAACTAAAAAATTCAGCTCATGCAGCTTTGTGCTCTCATATGTTTTATTTTCACCACGCTCAGTTCTTTGAGTAGAAAATGAAGATGTTGCTGCAATTGTTGTTCCTCAGAGGAGTCAGTGACTGGACCTTTCACACCAGTCAGTGGGACGTGCTAAGGGTTGTTCTTGAAGGATTTTCCTCTGAAGGAATTAAATATGTTGTAGGTGATTCTATATTTCCATGTAGGTATGGAGGCAGGAATAATAATAACAACTGAAAAACCCTGACCCAAGAAGTGTTCTCAGAGGACATTTCTGGCTCCTGCTTTTAATATAAAGCAGCGTTATGGGACATTTGTACATTAGATATTAAAACCAGGGGTTTGGAAGGGAGCCCAAGGAAAAGGAAGGAAGTTTATTTGCCTGCATAAAATTTTTGGTTGCATGTTAACACTAACCACTGTATCTCATGCAAAGAAAGCCAAAATCTGCTTTCAATGGAAAATTTTATGTGCTGGAACAGAGAATCACGTCCAAAATCCTCAAATTAAAACAACTAATCAACCTAATGATAACCATAAGCCTTATATGTTGATGGGATCTTTATTTTCAGTCTCTTAGCAATCAGTATTTTAGAATAAGTGGATATTAGGGGCCTGTGCTCATTAGACTGCACCCTTTGAGTGGTGTTGAGATTTATTATTAAAAACTATTATTTAATCTCCTGCTTTGGAGATTTGGAGACACCAGTGTAAAGATGGAAAACACAGGCTAGGCTCAGTGAGTTCCTGCCTTCAGAAGACCATAAGATAAATTTTGGTGGGTTCTTTTATTGTGGTTAAGCTGAAAACTCATTTTTCCCCTTAATTCCACTAAATTAATTTGTGAGTAAGATGTTCCGTGGGTAAAAGACCACCTGAATTAACTCCTGAACAACCTGGTCTAGTGGAAGGTGTCCCTGCCCATGGCAGAGGGTTGGAACAGGATGAGCTTCAAGGTCCTTTCCAACACAAACCGTTCCAGGATTGTGGGATTTCAGCGTGTGCTGTCTGAGAAGGTGGGAGATGAGGTGGTTCTGCAAGAGCCACCTTGGCATTTTTGGTGGTGTGCCTGTGGTCCAGCAATCCCCAGGATTGTTTTTATGGCACCTGCATCTCTCCCTGTGCAGGGATCTCATCTCCCAAGTCCCCTAAAGAGCAAAGAGGTGGCTGCATGTCCTTGTAGGGATGTCTTTGGTCCTGATGATGCTGAAGGTCAGCTGAGGCATCTTGGCATGTCCTTGGCAGGGCTGTCCAGATGTGCAGCCAAAAGCAGAGTCCAGGCAATAACAGGAACAGCTGCCTTTGGTAACAGTGTGTGAAAATGTTCCCATGGAGTCAGAGGCTTTGGGTAATTTTCTTGAAAATATTGCTCTCCCTCAGAACGTCTTTGGCATCATTTTCTGTGAGGCTGGAAAGGTGGGAGGTGAATTCACCCACTGTGGAAAAAACAGACCCACTTTATAAAAACAGAGCACTTTGCAAAATCAGGTGGTCCTTTGAAAAGTGAATTTGCAACCCAAACCCAAGCAGGAGTGGTGTTTCACCTGGAGAAAGAGGAGGAACAGGAGAGCAGGTTGAGAGGCTCAGTGAGGATATTGGGAAAAGAAATTTAAGAGACAATGTAGATTCACACATGTTTTGAAAGGTGGCATGACAGGGCTGTAATTCCACCTCTGTGTTCAGGTAACTCCAGGAACTGCTCAGGAACTGTGGCTTGACATCCCTGAAACCCCTCAATGGAATTACAGCCTCAGAATTCCCAGGCATCTGTTCCTGATTATCCCCCCTGTACAGTGGAGGGAGCAGAATTCCTGCTGCCAGCTCACAGTAATATTTCACAGCTCTGAAGTAAAGGAGGTCTGTATTTCACAGTTATGACAACAGAGCTGTCAAATATGGCTTTGGAAAGTGTTCTATATGAACCCAGACAGTTTTTATGGGAGCATTTGTTTCAGGGGGCAATTTAAGGTGAGCCTTGAACACTGTGAAATTCAGCTACTTGAGAAACTGCCTTTTCCACTGGTACAGCTTTAAAGTCCAGCTTCCAGGTGCTCCTGGGCAGGTCTCCACCCTGCTGTGGTTGTTGCAGAAGAAAACCTGTGTCAAGTTTCACTGGGAAGGATGTGGGGGTATAGAATTGTAGTTTTTTGCATATTCTATTCACAGAATCCCAGAATGGTTTGGTTTGGAAGGGACCTTCTCATTCCAACCCCCTGCCATTAGGCAGGGTCACTTTCCACTGGCCCAGGTGGCTCCAATCCCTGTCCAGCCTGGCCTTGGACACTTCTGAAATACTCTCAGATCCACGTGGTCAGTGCTGTGCTGGACATCCTCCCCTAGGAACTGGGAGACTTGGATTTTCAGAGCTGTTTTTTAGCAGCAATTAATTTGCCTTATTTTAAAAAAAATATATGAATAGAGCAGCCTGAAGCTCATCTGCCTCTGACCTGACTTTGCTTTCTCTGGCACTGAGGAATTTTGATTGCTACCACCTCTTTGAGACAGTCAAAATCCACCTGGATTCAGCCCAAAGAAACTGGTTTTGACTGCCCATGGTTTGAGGAAGGACATTGGTTTAGAGGATCTGCAGAGGTCACTTCAACCTCGTCTATTTTGTGATTTTTTTTTTTGATTTTTTAAAATGAATTATTGCACACATAATAAATAATTCTGAATTACTATCAGAAGAGGATTGTTCTTCAGCTTCACTCTCATGTACTCATTGGCCATGTCAAAACTTTGAGGCTTTTTCTGCTTGTTGTGATTAACAATTGGAGCAGCACGTGGCTTTGATTTGGGTCATGGTCAAAATGGCAACAGATTTCCTCTCTGCTCTGGTATCATATGGAAAAATTAACTGTACAAATGACATGGAAAAGCAGGAGGCTGAGCCCAGAGTCCTTATGGAGCCTTAGGAGGGTTTGGTGTTGAAATCCAACGATTGTGTTCAAGAGAAACAGATTTGCAAACGAGCGTGTCTGAGGAAGGAAAACACAAATGGATATTCCTTCTTTATCCTTCACCCCCGAAGATATTGATTGAGGTTGTTCACATTTAATTGTCACAGTAGCCACAGGATTTATGGGTTGCATCAAGCAGACTTATATTTATGGAGAACTTGGTTTTCCTTATTTTAGCTGGTTCTGCTGTTGCCTTTGGTTGGAATTGAGGTGTTGATTGCAATGGTTGCTCTGCTCTTGGAGCCAACATTTCAGTACCTAATGGATGTTTTCCTCGTGTTTTCTCCAACCAGAGTGGCTGCCACGAGAATTTAACTGGATCTTCCTTTTAAGACCTTGGCAGTGTGTGGAGGGAGGGCCGCAGGAAACGAGGGGTTTGGGAGGAGGATTAATTGAAAAGTGCCTTCTTCCTTTCTTTTAATTTCTCTTAAGATTGTTCAAGCTGTTATCACAGTTTTCCATGTTGGAATTTTTAATTAGTTCTCTGACTTTGGGATTTATATGGAGATTTAGGCTGAAGTGCTCAGCCTGTGCTGAGGTGTCACACAGCAAAATGGATGTGCAGCCAAATCTTCAAAGGTTTTTTACAATATTGGAGGTTTTAGCCCTGGCTGAATCAGAGGGAGATAATGGTTTATAGTGCACAGGTTTATTTCCATTGTTCTAGGATGGGGTTTGTCCTGCTTTTTGGGTTTGAGGATTTCTGATTTATCCATTAACCTTTCCTTGCTGGGACTGCACAACCAGAAAGCAAGGAGAGAAATCCTGGTTTGAAGTGTGAGGCTGGGAGGCCTCTGCACTAGGAAAATACTTTATAGGTACAAACCATGAGGACACTGAGCAGGAATTCCCTCTGCCATAGAATCTGTCCCCCCCACACCCACTTCCAAAATGGTGCCAGTCCCTTCTCCCAGGGAACAAGTGACAGGACGAGAGGAAACAGCCTCAAGTTGCTTCAAGGAAGGTTTAGGTTGGATATCAGGAAAAATTTCTTCATGGAAAGGAGAGGTTTATCCAGCACTGGAATAGTCTGCCCAGGACAGTGGTGGAGTCCCCATCCTTGGAATTGTTCAAGAAACATGTGGATGTGGCACCTGGGGACACAGATGGTGGTGAACATGGTGCTGATGCTGGGACTCGGTGATCTTAAAGGTCTTTTCCAACCTGTGATTCTGTGAAAATGAAAACCCAGATGCTCAACTGATAAATATGAAGTAGAATAGGAATGAATTAAAAAGGCCAAAGGTTTTGCCTTTGTCTTAAAACTGATTTTAGCTGAGAATTAAACACATATCCTTGAAATAGTTAAAAATTACCTTTGGGAAATCCAGCCTTGCTCAGCAGTGTCTGAGGAGGGTTGGCACTGAGAATGTGACAGAAGAAACCACTTCAGTGGGATCATTTGGCCAATTCTTGACCATTGGGTTGAGAAGACACACTCAGCACACTCAGCCTCAATTTTCTTTGACTCATAAGCACAAGCAGCAAAGAAATGGAAAACATGAAAGAATCATGGAATGCCAGAGTGGTTTGGGTTGGAAGAGTCCTTAAATCTCATCTCATTCCCCCTCCTGCCATGGGCAGGGACACCTTCCACCAGACCAGGGTCCAATTTCAACTTGAAAGAAAGGAATATTCTGCAGTTGTTTTTTTCTCTGTATTGGAGTGGTCAGTGCAGCATCTTCCATACTTGTGGGTGTCTCCAAAGCTATTCCATCTAGCAGAGGGGTTTTTGGGAACGCCATGGATAAGGTAGCACTACAAAAGCCGTTTGGTTCATGTTGAACTTACCCCTTTGGAATTAGTGGAAGATTTCAGAGCAGGAGCTCAGCTGTGGCTTCTCTGTGCCAGGGATGCTCTAAGAGATCAAAATTGTAGATGTGAGGCTCGATACTTTACAGGACTGTGATTTCTGAGTGCTGACACATCCTCTCTTCAAGCTGTGTGTGCTCCTCATGTTTGTGTTTGTTTTTAATGGGGAATGTTTAAAAAGGGATAAATATTCCTTTTGTCTGCTCAGAGATGTAGAGGGGAAAAACAATACTCAGAAAGGATGTTTTGTTTTTAGACACTGGTGAGTCCTCTCTCTTCTTTTTTCCTAAGAACTAAAAAACACCAAAAAATCCAACAAAATAAAGAAAAAACCCAACTGAGGTTGTTGCAGTGAAGCCAAAGTAGAATCTATTTATAGGTGACCACGTGAGATGTACAGTGGGATTCTATTCAGGCTGTGGCTCCTCTTCCCACCTCTGAAAAGCACCATAATTTCTGGCTTATGAAGCAAAAAATGACTTACAAATAAGGACTTTTGGATTTACAGTTAAAAATGTATTTCAGTATGTGCATATAATGTATATATTTATCTGCTGCAGCTCATTTTTCTTTGATACTCTTTGACTGCATAATTTTCCTAATCAGAAAATAAATGCTCATTATAAATGAAGGATTAGGTGTTTGGACACTGTGGTTTGGTAGAAGTCGAGTTCAATTCAATTCAATTACACGGTGAGAGACTGGGAAGCACAATGGAAAGACAAAATCAGGAGGGAATGGATTCTTGGGAGCCCTGGAGAAGCAGCTGAATCACAGTGGCCTTTCTTAGCCCTTTGTAAAATAAAAAATACAGAAAACGAGAAGTAATGAAAATGGGAGAAAAGGGGAAAGACGGAGGCTTAGTAAAGATCTTTGTCCAGCTTGGAGGAGAGAAGGATCCAGGGAGATCTTAGAGCCCCTTCCAGTGCCTAAAGGGGCTCCAAAAGAGCTGGAGAGGGGCTTTGGACAAGGGCCTGGAGGGGCAGGAGTGGCTTCCCACTGCTGGAGAGCAGGATTAGATGGGATATTGGGAAGGAATTCTTCCCTGTGAGGGTGGAGAGGCCCTGGCACAGGTTGCCCAGAGAAGCTGTGGCTGCCCCATCCCTGGAAGTGTCCAAGGCCAGGTTAGACAGGGCTTGGAGC